TTTTTGGTAGCAAGTCTCCTACACCTTAAAACAAGAACTCTATAGTCTTTGCACCCCAAATTAGTAACATTATTATTATTATTATTATTATTTTATTTATTTTTTTAAATCAGCTGCATTGTGACAGTATTAAGTGGGGTATTGTTAAAGGGACACTATAGTCACCTCAACAACTTTAGCTTAATGAAGCAGTTTTGGTGTATAGAACATGCCCCTGCAGCCTCACTGCTCAATCCTCTGCCATTTAGGAGTTAAATCCCTTTGTTTATGAACCCTAGTCACACCTCCCTGCATGTGACTTGCACAGCCTTCCATAAACACTTCCTGTAAAGAGAGCCCTATTTAGGCTTTCTTTATTGCAAGTTCTGTTTAATTAAGATTGTCTTATCCCCTGCTATGTTAATAGCTTGCTAGACCCTGCAAGAGCCTCCTGTATGTGATTAAAGTTCAATTTAGAGATTGATATACAATTATTTAAGGTAAATTACATCTGTTTGAAAGTGAAACCAGTTTTTTTTTCATGCAGGCTCTGTCAATCATAGCCAGGGGAGGTGTGGTTAGGGCTGCATAAACAGAAACAAAGTGATTTAACTCCTGAATGACAGTGAATTGAGCAGTGAAATTGCAGGGGAATGATCTACACACTAAAACTGCTTTATTTATCTAAAGTAATTTAGGTGACTATAGTGTTCCTTTAAATGTAACACCCTTATTTTTTTAAAGCCAATATCTATACATTTAACTTATTCTATTCTCATGAAAGGATTTGTCTTCTGAATAACTTACTGATGCACTGCTTTAGTTTTTAATTACTTTTTATTTTGGTATGTAGTATCTTACATATTACAGACATCGATACACATGTACATATCCTTAAAATGACCTATAGTAGGTACACTGTTGTTTTAAAGCAGAACTGTTCTTGATGTCTAGTAAAATAATTTAGGCTGACTTACTGACACATTTTTGCATGAGTCTTCACCAATGGTTTTTGATCGAAACTGTAAAAAGCATGTGTTGCTTGTATGGCTACTTTGCTGGGTTTCCTGACTGTAACATCGTGTTTCTTTTACAGCAACTAACAAGAAAGCATTATTTCTCATGTATAGGTGGATTTCATAGTAGCTTTTTCATTTATGTATATACGTTTCCGTTCTAGAACATTTACATTTTTTACACCACAATTTAAAAAAAAATTAAATGATAAAATTACTTTTTTGGGGATTATTTGCAGAATGTATTACTAAAATTTGACTTCAAATTTTAATATATTAATATTAAAATTGAATATTAATGTAATACTTTAAAAAGCATCTGACAAATATTACATTTAAAAATAGGTAGCAGAAGTAAAAAAAAATGTAATTTTTTTTTGTTTTTATTTTGTATGAACATGGTATAAATAACAGATTTTCTGCTCCTTTTTGTTTTATCCGTAGTGGTGGTGACATTACTGGCAAGCGAGATGTGAATAAGAAGAAATGGCTCTTATTTCTTATGTAGGAATCTGTACCTCTCTAAACTTATTTCATAAAGCCCCTACGTGCCTACTGGACAACATTTCACATAGCATGAAGACACATAGATTAACTAAATAATCTGTCTCCATACATGTCAACTTTTCTATTTCCTCAAATGTCTATGTCCAATAATACCAGGGTTTTGATTATTTAAGTTGGCGTAAATTTTTTCACAAGTGAGCTGCATAATTTTTAATAACTTGCAGATTTTGGGTGATATATTTCAATAAATATCATCATGTTGCCAATGTACAGATTTTGTTTTGAAACTAAAACAAAACTACCGGCACATTAACTCCTCCCCATTGTCTCTTGATTCTAAGAGTAATTGCGAGAGAAGTAAAGAAATAAATAAATCAGAAGTATTTTCATATTTTCATATATATATATATATATCATTCTAACAGAATTACTTTAATTGGGTTGTCCATTGAAGTCACAAGTTCTCTTGATTTATGTTGTTCCCCAGTCTAATCATATTTGCGCGCCATTTTATATGCAAGTATAATAGTGCAATATGGTTTTCTATTAAATAGAATTTTATGACTAAGTATTCTCTTTCCAAGTCTTTTTAACACTGTTGTTAATGTAGTTTATTTATGTTGATCCTGATTACTTTGTAGCTATAGAGCCATGTTCTTTACTGAAATAATAATAGTTGAAGACTTTGATCTTACACATTTTCATCATCATCATATCATATTCTGTTAATATGATTGCAGTTACCTTGTTTAGAACACTACAGAATTTGTTGTATATAAGAGATGTAAAAGAAATGCATGATTATTAAAGTTGTGATTTACATTGTCTCTCCAAATCTAAACTTGAAGATCAATGCTAGGCACAATAAGATGTCTACCTGCATACCTTGTGATTGCTTGCATCCAGATAGCTGAAGGATGCCGACTAGACTGTTACCTTAGGTTAACACAGCTGCCATTTAAGTAATTTTCTTTTGGGATAGAAAGTATACAGAGCTGTGTTCAAGTTATCCCTGTAGCCCAATATGCCACTCCTGACATCACTCCTCCTCACCAGAAAGCAGGCTGTTTGGGTGACATTGGCGGCATAAAGGGGAACATGTTTTGCGTACTAGCATCAGATATCAAAATCGAACAGAATTCACATTAGTGACCTGGAACGCTCTTAATGGGCTGGATAATGGCTCTGCAGTGATACTGCCCAAGCAGGAGTTACACCTGTGGCCACGACGGGTTAATCTCTCTATGTGCAGTGTTTAATATGCAAATGTTGCACATACAGACTTCAGGCACCATAGCCACTTCAAATCACTTAAGTGGTCACAATGTCTGGAGTAACCCTTTAAATGAATTTACAGTTCACAGATAAGTGTTACAAAATCTTAAATGATAACGGGTAACAACAGTAAGAAGCAAGCGCTAACTACTGCCCAAAGAAACTTTTAAGGTGAAAAATAATTTGCAAGATATTATATATGGATAAGAACTGCCTTTAGGGGTCAGAAGTGCTGAACTTTGCCCCCACTGTAGTTGGAATTCACTACCCGTAATTTATTGGGATGGCTGACTCTGGTGGGTAATGTAGTCCAAGTGTTGTCCATTTACAACACCTTAGTCCAAGCAGGCTATCACTGCTCTAAGTTAACTAATTTATATTGTCCGTTTTATGATATAATCTATAGTCTTACAGAGAGTTAGTAGTTCATGAATATCGGTTTGAAACCCAAAGTGTTAAGGACCGTGCTAATTTTCTTAATAAATGAATGAACACAGGCCAAAATGTTATAACATGAAATTTATAAGTAACAGATTTTAATTAACATTTTTTTTAATGGGCTTGAATTAATGTTTATGTTCTTTTTAAAAAAACTAAACAAAACAAAAACCTAATCATTTTGTGTGTTCTTTCCAATTTTCTTCTCAAGGTGATGTGATGAACTTGCCACCATATCTTAGAATGGACTTTTTATTAAATCGAGGTGCTTCAGGAACTAGCAGAGACCTGGGTTTAGGGCAGGCTTGCTTGGAACCTCAGAAAAGTCGAACCCTGAAGCGACCCACAGTTATGGAACCCATTCCCATGGAAAATCCATCAGCACGAGAAGTACAGTCATGGCAGCCCAGTGCGGCAGCACCATTACCTCCACGAGAGGGTACTGAGCTAGGACAGGCAGCTAAAATAAGCAGTTCTCAAGAATCACTGCTGGACTCCCGGGGTCATTTAAAAGGAAACAATCCCTACACAAAATCATACACCCTGGTATAACAAAAAGGTTTTAAATACTAACAAATAAACAAAAATGCAAATCAATGCTACCTTTTTCTACTGAAATTCCAACATTTATAATTTAAATAAAAAAAAAGGATTGCCAAAACATTTAAAAGAGGAATTTACAGACAGTGCAAAGACTCTCCACTTTTTTTTTTTCTTTTGTTCAACTATGTAAAAATCACCTTCCGGGATGTCAAACTCTTCGAAGGATTGTTTTTTCTTTCTGCCACATTTGCAACAATTTTCTACATAACGGTGCATGAGAACATATTACTTGAAGATTCCAACATACTCCGCCAAGGAGTGCAATTGCAGTGGAATCGTTGTCACTCCAGTGGATGTAAAATGGCAGTTACATGGAGAACACCTTTTAGTTTCCTCTGCACATTTTTTATCAATAATTTTGAGTCCTATATTTTTTTGTTACATAGAAAGAGTGCTATCACAGGACATAGATTTGTTGTTTTTTTAATCTTTTTTTTTAAATTATTATTTAAGTTACATTGATGACATACTGCATTTTGTCTGCAAAATAAAGGGTCTTTTGCCTTCTGCTGTGATGCCTGCCTTGATTTGCTGGCTCAGTTATGTTTTTTTTTTTTTTTGTTTGTTTCTTTGTGTTTTGTTATATTAGCTAAAATATGCATTGTAATGAGGCTTTAACCCTTTCAGCACCAAATGGGAAGCAATCCATTGCACATAGATAAAATGACATATAAATGTGTATCTAGTGCACTGCCCACCTCCCTGGCATTCACAGTTTAAACCAAAATAAGTTTAAAACTCAATTAATTATTCTTATCTAACAAGTAATTGAAATAATACATTTTAGTAGGTGAAATTCCCAGCATCTGTTTTTGTTTGAGGTTAGAAATGAAATGTCATTAAGGGCTATCAATGAGGTGACAAGGGCTCTGATTTAAAAAGAAAACCCATGGCTATTCATGGTTTAACTCTGCTCTGTATGAGTTTTAATTTCCGCTTTCTAATTCAATGGAAAATTCATCATCCCTGTACACAAACATTGTGTCTGCAATGAAGAAGGGCTTGAATGTCACCAACTAATATTGTTCCAAGGAATACATGAAAACACTGGTTGTGTGCCAATGATTTCAAATTCCCTCTACTTCAATGGTTATTCTTCTTAGCCGTGGCGTTATGTGAAACGTTATGTGTTATCAGATGCTTTATTTGTTATCATTTAAAGAAAGAAATGTTATGCTAAAAAGACAATCCAAGCACCATAACCAACACTGCTTGTTGTAGTGGTTCTGGCACTGCAAAGGTGTCCTTGAAACCTACAATTTCTGTTCCACCCCACACCACTGACATCATATAGGGAAGTTTAGTCATCTAAGCAGGTGGGCAGAATGAGTCTGCTCTACGGTCATATTGTCAAAGGGGCTGTTTGAGCGACAGCTCCAGGCCTATGCTCTGGAATAGGCCCACAACAAGCACAAAGTAAATGTTTAGTTGTTTTCTTTTTCAGTTATTCATTACAAATTAGATTACTGCCACTCACTAAGTATCAGAACTGCCTTTTTTATTTATTAATACGGTCCTAACTGCTGTGTGTTCAGCCTTAGAGTCAGATCTGTGATGAGTCCCAGAAAATAGAGAATTCAGTAGTAGGTTACAAAGGTCTGTAGCTGCTACTGTAACAATGGAAATATAAGTTCAACTTCTATCATTAGACCCATCAACATATTCAGCTACAGGCTCCATGAGGTCCTGAATCCAGCAATAGCACACTCATCACACTAGACTGGCAGGAGATTATGCGTACATACTCACAGAACAGATGCTATATGTTTAAGAGACTGACTTGAATACTGTGAGTAGTTTAAGCATGATCATGCTTTATAAATAGCCCAGTGAGGTTGCTAGAGTTCCCCATATGATATCTGTGGGAATGGGGATGACATACGGCAGCCAGAGATGGAGATTTGAGACAATAATAAGCAAGGATACAGTTCTAGTGTTAGAAATGTGAATTTAAAATGTCATAAGGAGCCAAAGAGTGACTAATTTTCTATGCAACACTTAAAGGGACACTGTAGTCTTCAGAACCACTACAGATTAATATAGTAGTTCAGGGGCATATAGAGTGTGTCTGCAAGGTCAACAGTGTAAATCCTACCTTTTCTGAAAAAAAACGCAGTGTTTTCACTGCTGCCTAGGTCCACCTATAGTTGCTGCCACTCTGAAAAGCACCAGATGGACTTCCTAAATGAGATTGTGAAATCTTTGTAGGACTTCCGTACAGAATTGTAATTCTCAGTATGGAGACACTGGATGCTCCTCATAGAGATGCAGTGATTCAGTGTTTCTCTACGAGAAGATGATGATTGGACAGCACGGCCATTTGCCGTACATGCGTAATAGGCTCCCAATGCTTCTCTCTGAGGAAGCAATGGATTGGCTGAGATGATTATGGTTGATGATCTCAGTGAGAAGATGGGGCAGTTGTGGTGAGAAATGTGTGGCAAGGGCTGAAAGCTAAGTAATTCTCTTTCTGTCGTTTAGGAGTGCCCAGGCATCTATATAGTCACTACAAAACCATGGCGTTAGGAATACATGTTTGTAGTATTCCTTTAAAAACGTGCTATTGTAAACTGAACAATGGGGAAGATAAATAATAGAAGATTTGTTGGAAAATACATTTGCCTGTGCTCCAAATTTAAATGTTGTGACTTTAGGATATTTGCTACATATTATGTATAATTATCTCAAAAGATATTCTAAAACATATGCAGAATACAGAGCTGCATAAAATACTGCTTCAATATAATCTGCTAATAATAACATTGCTGTGCAGGTTAAATGCAATTAAATTAGTTATCATCTTTTTTTTTATATCTCAAAAATATTGGTTGTAGATACAATCTATGCAGATTATATGTTACATTTTTTCATTACATATTGCAATGTTGAGTAAAAAATTCTAATGGATGTATTCTGTTGAATACCTCACTTTATTGAAGTTCATATTAAAAGTAATGAGAGAATTTCTTTTTTCAGCATCTAGAAGGGATACATATTTCACAAAGGCAATTAAAAATAAATAATAGAATAATTACTTTGAATATGGTTTAACTGGGAAACACTTAACATTTACTCTGGTGAAAAAAATGAATGCATTTTAGAAATTCTGCAAAATAAATGTAAGAGTCACCAGTGCAATAAAAGTAACCTCAATAAATACAAAATAACAAACAAACATCTAAACGTAATTTGGAAGGAAAAAAAATCTTTCCCTGCAGGTACTTTGCAAACACGCATGTTAAATAATTCATTAAGCATAATCAGAGGCCATATTACATTTTCCTAAGAGCATTATTTGAAGAAATTGGCCGAGCAGTGAAATACAGTCTGGATAAGCACACATTTTGTTAAAACCGCTTGGAATTTTGAATATCAAACATAGATCAAAAAGCTTTTCTACTCATTATTGCACTGGAGGGACCGAATACTGCACTCTTAATTTCTCCGCAGTAGTAAAGCAATGTGTCTTTCTGTTTTTTTGTTTTGTTTTGTTTTTTAATACTCTTTTAACAGAATTTTCTTTTTGAAAGCAGAGTGGGCAAAGCTGTGGGCAAAAGTAGCCAGAGAGTGACTATATCTGATATGGAGAGTAATTCCACTTTGCATAGGGGCAAGAGGGGCAGAGTCCTGCCAGTTTTTGTTGCCAACAAATCTATTGGCTTTGTAAGAACTCCTGATAAGTGTGTGTTAGAAAACCATGCATCTGTCAATATCATATCACCATGTTCCATTTTACCCCTTTTGATAACTGGAGAGACAGCTGGTCTTGAACACAGCATGGTGTCTCATGTGTAGGGTTACCATAACCATCATGGTTTTTAGGGACACATATCATGTATGCATATTGATGGGACACCACATGAAAAGGGTTGCCCTATAGTATGTAGAATTCAGAAGAAGGTGTATAAGATTAAGTAATTAGGCAATGAAGAATCCTGCAAAATATCCATTGTGCATACTTTTATGTGTTTTTATAAATATGAGGAAATGTTGATATGTCCCTAAACATATGGTGGATCTGGTAACCCTAGTCAAGTGGGTACGGCAAAACTAGTTGGGGGCAGCACCCCACCATCTTTAAACTTTACCAGCCACCACTGCAATTTAGTTTTCATTTAATTACAATTCAGAGTTAAGTAAATAAACACCAATGTTTTCTGTGTAAATGGTGCACAGTCAGGACAAGAAAAAAAGACCATTGTGCCTGGTGCTGACAATTATAGTGGACCTAATTAAAGAAAATTTTCAACAGAAAACACTGAAACAGCCATACATCATAAGTGTCATGTATCTGGAAGGGGTTTTGCTGAAGGGAACTTACAGGATGCATTGATAAGAATAAACATACCCTGTGTTAATCACTTGCTTTCATTTCTCAACCAAACCCATACCCCCAAACATCGTCATCTTGTGAAGCAGGATGTCAGTGGGCCAGGTAAAAGGAGGTGGGCTAGTGACAAAAATCCTGTCACTGGCACCAGCCAAAAGGGGGGCGTTTGCTTTTGTTAACAGTTAATTAAAAACTGCAGATTACAAATCTACATATCTCCTATTGGTTGCACAAAGTTCTAATGTGATTGATAGACAGACAGACAGATAGATAGATAGATAGATAGATAGATAGATAGATAGATAGATGATAAACACTTTATAAATTAAATCAGCACAACTTGATGAATTACTGCTAACTGTGCAATGCTCACTATTAAATAAATAAGATAATATCATAAATTATAAAGGCTTTCCATGTTGAAGGCTGCTTGAATGATGTTCTAGGTTATGAATATTTGTTCTCATATTTATCTCTTCATTGGAGCCAAAGTAATGAACATATATACAATCAACATATAAATGAAAAGTACTAATTTCAATCAGAAAGTTAGGGAACGGAGTAAAACGAGTTCATTTGGCACGTTGCAGACATCACATTGTAAAGGGTGCAACTTATCGAGAACCCTGAAACATATAGTAAATATAGTGGAACTAAAAATAAATAAAAGAGGAACTGCATACATGTATGTAAAATGTAGGACCTATAGATTGGTATTGTTGTCATGTTCCCCTCTTGACCTATAGATCGGTATTGTTGATGTAATGGTAGTGGGCATACATTGGTTTTTACATTACTGTGAATGTGCAGCCTTTCAGTCTATGCAGCTTTTCTATATGAACAGACTTTATTCATTGCTATCGAATAAACACTGGCAATGTGTGAAGTGGTTCTATTACTGGTTTTATTTGGGGTCCAAGGATTTGTTGTGATCTCTCAACTACTTCCTGGTTGAATGAGCCAATCGGTTGATCATATGCAGCCAATATCCTGTATATAGTGAGTCTAAGGTGTTAATGTGTTATCTTAACATAAACACGAGGTGGTGGAGGTGGTAGAATAATTAAGGCAAAAATAGGTGCAATTCGAAGGCAAAGTGTAGAGAAAGAGTGATCACCATGGAAACCAACAGATTAGCCATAGCTATTTGAACCCAGTATAGCACCTGCTTTGAATTGATAAATTCTATCAATATGATGTCATTGTTATTGAACATTAGCACATATATTTCTTTTTAAGATGCTTTGCTTCTTTGGCTATGCCCTTTAAATTATAATATATCATTATTTAAGAAAATTATCAGCTTGCTACATGTAATAAATACACATAAAATTGCAGTACATAATGTGTTATGTATTATGTGAATTTCCATTGAATTAAATCACAAAAGTTTAAATTAAGTAAAAAAAAAATGTTTAAGGACAATGCAAATAATTATTAAATGAAATGTATATAGCGCAAGAAAAATAAATAATGTCCCATCAATTCTGTGACTGACTGAGGTACACAAGATTTAAAAGATATGTGTCAGCAGATGAAATTATGATACTGATGTAATTATGAAGAGCCTAATTTATAGAGCAGCAAAATGCATTGCCCATGCGAAGGTGACTACATGCAAGAACTTTCCTTTTAGCCATTACACAAACTTTTGCCCTTCAGTCTTCACCATTGTCAGTTCTGTTAAATATGTTTAAAGTTGTCACTGTTCAAAAAAATATATATATATTATTTGTGATCTTAAGTGCCCTCTGGAATCATTCTGTTTTGAAAGCAAAAATTTGTTTTGACCGGTTTGTCCAAATCAAAATGCTTTTAATCCCCACTTAAATTAATTGTATTTGTCTGGGATTTGCTTATTCAGTGAATAAGGCCCCAGAGGTAAAACCTAGACTAATTAATTCGTTCGGGTGTGGGTGAAAACGATTTTGATTTGAATGACCCAGCCGAGAAAAACTTTTGCAGAAGACTAATAATAAGGCCATGACTTTCTGCTGACATTTGATACCAAAAAGGGCTTATATCACTGCAAAAAAAAAAAATGGTTTATGGGATCCCTTACCCCTCATTTAGTAGACGAATGTATTTAAGGAAAGTATTTAAGTAGTAGTTAAAACTCTCAGTAAGCAGAGGAATCTCATTGCTTTCAAAATATTTGTCTTAAATCTACAAACAATTTAATATTGGTATTGTTTAAGGCATTTTCCCTTTTTTGGTAATGAAGTAAAATCAACAGCAGTATAGTTTGTTGAAAAATAGGTTAAGGAATAACATACAGTGTTGACTGTTCATATGAATTTAGAGCGTGCAGTTAATTTGGGGTTTCAATGTTCTCCTTAGTCTTATATGAGAGGTAAAAAATAAAAGGTCTGGTAATTTCTTAACTTATTTACTTTAATACTCGTTCCGGTACTGGAAAAAAAATTGCAAATATCTATTTTTTTTTTCTTTGTAATAAAAAAAATCTTCAAATATTTCTCAGCTAAATGAGACAACTTTCATTTAGAATATTTTAATTTTATTTTATTTCCTGGAGACAGTTTGATCACTTACAATTATTTAACCCCTTATGGACCAAACTTCTGGAATAAAAAGGAATCATGACATGTCCCACATGTCATGTGTCCTTAAGGGGTTAATGTCAAAAATGACATGTATGGTGATTGGTTAATGTAAAAACGTGAAATGACATGTAAAATGACAAGCATGCTGATTGGTGGATGGGATAATGCCTTAAGCAACATAGATATTTTAAATAAAGGTGTTTTCATTATGATGAGAAATATGTTCAAGTGACGTCTGTTCATATTGAAGTTGTATTTTGCATACATTTTTACTTTGGTGATTTTGTTAATTTAATTAAAAATGCAAACCCCCTATTTACACACTCAATTTTAAGTTGCTAGATTGATCATATTGAAATAAGTTGATCATCTCAATATACACTGTATGTTTGTGTAAGGATATACCGATGACGCCTCAAATAGCCTAACTCTGTGAGTACTAGAAATGGACATCAGTTGCTACAACAAATAATGAAATACTTCAATGTATCTGCTCTTATAATCTTGTAATGAGTGCTATGCTAAGGTCTAAACTTTTCTGGCTGGGGGCTTCATTTAATGAAGTATATTTTTGTAACTCTATTTTCTGATTTGTATATTGCGTTAGAACGAGGCCAGTCTGTGTAAATTCTCATTGAAAATCTCGAAATGGTGAGAAAACCACATAGCGTTTGAACGGTTTCATAAAAATGTGTAATAAAATGATAATCTGAAGATATGGCCATATTCCAAACAAATTTCACATGCCACCTCTCTTGCGCTGATGACTTATATTTTATGCTGTGATTCTGCAGATCGCAAATTAAAATGTACGCATCTTTCAATAAACAAACACAGAGAAAAATCTAAAATAAATCTAATGTTTAGGAAATAAACATGCCAATTGTTTAAAGATATTTGGTTCTAACTGGTTCAGAGCCAGACAAAACGTTAAATAGCTTCCCAAAGATTATTAATGTGTTTGTTTATTAGCATAATTTCTTTATATTCACTATGGCTTGTCATACCAAAATATATAGTGAAAATCCAGTCTTAAAATACATTCACTGCACTAAAAATCAGTTTATAAAAACTGCTAAATCATTAAATCAATGTTTTTATCCAATTAACTAGCTATATTATTTGCATATAATATACCTGCAACCAGTGACCTGTGCTTTCTGTTATCTTAAGAAGAGGAGAATTTGCTCCTAAGTCTTTTAAACAAATGCCATTCACTTTGCAGTACATACAAGTGTTGCAAAATGTCCATAAAAAGTCAGTTTTATTTTTACCTATGCGTCTCTTTAATCCCACGAAACCATGTGGCGTGACCAGTTAAATTTCCAAGCTGTTCTACTGTTCTATTATTCTGCACATATCCTAAAACACAATTTATATACATACATTCACATCCACATTTTGTTCTTCTGCATTTTATTTATTTTTTTGAAGTTCCATGTTTTGCTCATTTTTTTACATTGCAAATACTAAAGCATTTTATTAGTGAAAAACACTGTGTCTATGTGCCCGCTGAGAAGGTAGAAATTATTTTGCACCCTTAAGTACAATGTATCTGAAGAGAGCTGTGGAACAGAATTTCCATTTTATTGTATGAACATTTCAGTTATTTTCTCCCCAGCATGTAAATCATTGGTTACCAGACTAACGTTGGACCACGCAGAGCTTCTCTTTCCATTTGTCCAAATTAATATGCCTTTGGCCCTGTCGGAAAAACAGCTAAAATTAAGAGCACCCATGCCATTTCAAGATTAGCTAATTATCTCTAATTAATGTTTGGAGTTCTGGTAAATCAGAGGGGTATTGTGGCTTTTCCGAGGAAGCCATGGTTGAGTAAGATTTAAAGTCTATTCAGTATCCAACATGACGTATAGAATATTCGGCCTTGATTAAGGGTGCAAGGAGCAATATGGCAGATTATTTGTTTTATATAAAGTGCTGTGTTGAGAATAGGGAATTTAACTCAAAATAAGTGCAAAAACCTGTTATATCCTATCAGCTTTTCTCTGCGTTTTTAAGGTCCTCCTTCAATTTTTCTGCTCAACGTTTCTGCCATCCTCCCCTCCTCTTCCCTACATGTGTCCTATAATATAAACTTACATGTACTACACATGGTCTTTGCAGAGTCTGTCAATCTCATTTTTCTCTTGATAAACACTTATGGCTCCAACTTTTGAATTGCTGTCCACATACTCCAGTGTGCTATTATGTGATGCAGTGCACCATGCATTGTCCTAGCACAACTTCTACCTTGCCGTCCTCACCATGTGTCCTGCCCTTTGGCTTAAAGATAATATGGCCAAACCCTCACCATAGCATAAGATCATCTTCAAGAGAAATAAGAGCAATACCGTTCAGATTTACCATATTGGTATTTACTCAAAAATTGAACAAAATTGTCCTTCCTATTCAATAATCTCAAGATTGTATATATAAACTGTCTCAAACGGTTGATAAACCAGAGAAAGATTTGCCTCTAAGTGCTAGAGTCTATTGTACGTGATAAGCATATCTCTGGTAGTTACGTGAGTATTTCCACTAGAAAACAATTGGAGAACCTGTATTCAGTTACCATTGTTAAGCCTTTTTCTCAAAATAAAATCTGACCCAGCGTATCTATACTGTGGATTTTGTACAGAACACACTGAAAAGTACAAGGTTGTATGTGTAGTTTTCTCTTTGAATTCTGATTCTTAGTTTCGATGGCTATTTAGATTTGTTTGATTAACAGATGTCTTGTTATGTTTAGGTAACTTATCGTTCAAACATTGCGAAAGAGATAAAAAAAAGGAAAAATGCCTAAAACTAAAAAAAAGAAATACTAATGTTTTAACTGTGTCTGGCAACTACTGGCATTGTGCAGCCCTCAAATGGCAAAAGCTAGTGGCTTAATATTTTCATCAGAACCACAAGGTAAAAGCCAAGAACTTTGCTAGAACGTAAACATATTTTGTATCTTCCTAAAGTTAAATATACCAAAAGTGGAAAAAGCAGTGTTTCCCTTCAAAAAAGTGTTTTTGTGTTTTGTCGTTTTTGTTCATTTTTTGCTCTGGTTAATATCATTTCTAACTTCCTACATTATTCTAGATATTTTTTTCCTGTATTTAAGCAATTTTCTTTTTTACTCTGAAAAACCATGTAATTTTATACACGTTTGGATAAAGAAAAGTTTTGATGTTTTCACTGTACTGATGCACTCTGGAAGGGCGTCCCCTTTTGTGTTTCAAAATTTGTAAATATACATATACACGGTTTTAACCCTTTCAAGGCCAAAAGGAAGGACGTGCATTATCTCCCTCTCCCTTACTCTGAAAGGGTTAAATATCACTTTGCACTATATGCTTATATATTTTCTTTTAAATATAGAAATTTATTGTTAAAAAAAAAAAAAACATGATTGACAGCCATCATTTCCCTTGAATTTATCTGAATTTTTAATTTTCTTACTGACTTTCACTGTATGATGGAAAATAGGTATTAGATGGGGTAGGTTGTGTGGGAGGCTGTTTTGCTTACTAAATTTATTATCAATTCAATGATTCACTATTAACTCATTCTCACCCATTTTTGCCTCAGTTTTCCAATTAATTAAGTTATTAATTAAAAAATTCTCACTTGCAACATGTGTCTTGACTTTATTTATGTGCATTTCATTTACCGATTAAAAATCTCATGGTTGATAAAATGTAACTGTATGTACTGCGCTGGGTTTCATACCACAGATGCTTATTCTCGTTGTTGTTCCCTCAAACTATATACCAGTATTAGAAAAAGGGTCCAGGCACTCCAATGTCTTCGGGCACCTTTATAAGAACATGTGGAACACGCAACGTTTGACTTCCAATGGAGTCTCCGTCAAAGGCTCTTGTGCTGCCCCTTGGTTCAGCTAATCACCATGTCTTAAGTGAATTGAGAGTTTTTTACTTTTGCAACTCAGACTATATACGTCTTAGAGGTGAGCAAGGGGATGTTCAAGTTATTAATTGAATAACAGCTCAACAATGTTCTTAACTCAGCTATTTAGACTTAAAATGTGCAATTCTCCAAACAGATTAGTAAATTAACTGACATATGTTTCTTCCTAAAGACTATACTCTAATCCTTTAAAATATTCATTTGGGGATGACCATATTTCAAACTGCTAGGTGGATGATTATAGTTATCAGAAAGTGACATTTTGGATAATATTTAGGATATATATGTAGGATCAAATTTTAGACACGGCATTTGCAAAGTCTATACTTCTCTAGAGTACCAGCTTATTGTTTCCATGTCTCAGATATAAGTGGTGAGCAATGACAAGAATCATTAATTTAACTGCAATTCAAGGAAGACTTGGGACTGGAATAAAGTGACAGAACAGGTCAGTATAATATTAGGTCAGTATATTCAGTTAAACAGACACTATAGTCATCAAAATAACATTAGCTTAATTAAGCAGTTTTGATGTATAGATCGTGCTCCTGCAGTCCCACTGCCCAATGCTGTACCATTTAAGAGTTAAATCATTTTTGTTTGTGTCCGTGCAGCTCTAGCCACACCTTCCCTGGCTGTGTTTCATTTTCAATTAGATGTTAACTTACTTTAGAAATTTTTTATCTTCTGCTCTGTAAATTGAAATTTAAGCATACACAAGGGTCTCCCGCAAAGTCTATAATGCTTTTCAAAGAGCATGAGATAAGAAATTCTAACTTAAACAGACTGTGCAATTAAGAAAGTTTAAATATTAGATGTCTCTTTACATAAAGTGTTTAGGAAGGCTGTGCAAGTCACATGCCTGGAGATGTGACTAGGGCTGTATAAGCAAAGTGACTAAACTCCTAAATGACAGAGAATTGAGCAGTGACACTGCATGGGCATGATCTATACAACAAAACAGCTTCATTAGGCTAAAGTTGTTTTGGTGACTATAGTGTCCCTTTAATTGTCAAACTGGAATACATAGGTATGGATAATATGAATTATTTGAATACTGTAACAGAACAGATAGGTTTAGTTCCTAAAGGAGTCCTGCAATACTGCTTTAACAGAAGAGGTAAGTGCAATAGTGTGAGAGTACTGGAACTGATCAAATTGAAATAGAAACAGATTTTTTTTAATTTTACTCATTTGTTCTATTAGTCTTTTTTCATATTGTACTATAGGAATTCAGAAATACCCACATAGTTGAAACAAGTTACATTCAGCCAACAGTTTATTCGGTGTGCGTCTTCCTAAGGGTCTAAAGCATCTAACAAGTATCCATAAATGGTACAACGTTACAACGTTTTACAGAGCTAAGTCTGCCCACATAACAGCATCGAATGACAACAGAGCGATTATATAAATAGTGCTGACCTGTATTGAAAGAAGAATTGTGCAATTCTGAAAAGTCATTGTATTTTGTGTGTGTATATATAGATATATATATACAGTACATAATTAGGTATTGTTTATTTTATACATTTTGCTGTTATTTAATGTTAGTGATATGAAAAAAGAAACAATACGTTGCAAACTATTATCTCCAAAAATCGTATTTAATGAGCATATTTTGCATTAGTTATGTACGTTGTCTCATGCACACGTATAGGGTTATACACTAAAGTGATAATTCAAGATGAATTCAAAGTGAATTTCAAGTTTAAGACCATGATAACCGAACTGGAAAAATTCTCAAAATTAGTTATCCTTTCAGTTCGTCTACTTTGGTCTTAAATTTGAAATCCACTTTGAATTCTCACTTTAGTATAAGGCTATGCATTTTAGGCAATGCATTAAGGAATATTTTGCAATAAAACGGTGAACAAATGCCTTGATAAAATAGGATATATCTAAACTATACACAGCATGTAGTGTGTGTATATACATGCACACATATAGACGTGTCCTGTACATGCAGCATAAACAGGAAAACACAGAAGTCCTTTTTAAAATATACACTACAGATATACGAGGTGAATTCATTAACATTTTAATTTAAAAAAATCATTATATTACACAAAGGATATTGATAAACCTCGAAGGAACAGCTATGGATCACATCCTGGCACTTGGGAGTAGTGATTATAATGATTTCTGCAAGTCACAAACGATTGATGTTCAAATCAATAAGAGAGACTTCTTAATTTAGAGATCGCTGACCACTTCTCATCTAACTTTAACACAGCAGCGTGAGCACTTATATCCAATATACACTGTGCTACCTCACTGGAAGAATGCTTTGAAAATAATTCATTTTCTGTTGAAAATAGAGAATGCAGTAGACAGTAGATGGTAAAATGTAACATCTATAACTATGTGCCTCTGTAGATAACACAAGGGTGAGGGGAATAGATGTAGTTGAAAGAGACTCTGTCACCCCTTGCTCCCTGAGCTCCCCTCCAATAAAAACATTGTATTTTATAAGGATAAAATCTTTATTAAATACTAATACTAATCATTTCTCTGAAATTCCAATGCAGTTAAAAGATATATTAAGACAAAGTAAGGGCAAGGTCCTTTTGTCAGGTGTGTCTGACAAAACGTGACAAAAGCCAGAGCTATTGCCATCAAGTTTATCATTTTCCCCAGCCATTACTAATGATGGCTGTGAGTAAAAAGGTTGAAGTTGAAGATCTGGTAAGACTGGAGTATCCGAAAGAAAACCAGGAAACAGGTCATGCCATGCAGTAATTGAAAATGAGGAAAAAACATTTCAACTTTTATTAACCCCTTAGTGACCAGACTACTTTTCAATTTTATTACCGTTTGGGACCAGAGCTCTTTTTACATTTCTGCGGTGTTTGTGTTTAGCTGCAATTTTCCTCTTGCTCATTTACTGTACCCACACATATCATATACTGTTTTTCTCGCCATTAAATGGTCTTTCTAACGATGCCATTATTTTCATCATATCATATAATTTAATATACAAAAATTGTAAAATATGATGAAATTGTTTTTAAAAAAAACACACTTTTTCAAGTTTTGACCCGCAAAATCTGTTACGCATCTACAAATGCCAAAAAACACACATGCTAAATAGTTTCTACATGTTGTCCTGAGTTTAGAAAAACCCAATGTTAACATGTTCTTAGCTTTTTTTGGAAAGTTATAGGGCAATAAGTACAAGTAGCACTTTGCTATTTCTAAACCATTTGTTTTCAAAATTAACACAATTTTTTCAAAATTAACACAAAATTACATTGTAACACTAACATCTGTCAGGAATCCCTGAAAAACCCTTCACATGTATAAATTTTTTATACCTTAAGGTTTTTATGCCTTCAGACAAACTGAGATATTAAACTTTATTTTGACTCTTTTCATGCAACCAGTTTACCACCAATCTATGCCAAATTAAAAATAAAAATAATTTGTGGGGGGGTTTTGACACACATAGCAATTTAATAATACATGTACGGAGAACTTTAAGGGTTACTGCCAAAGAACACCCCAATATGTGTTAAGCAACATCTCCTGAGTACAGTGATACCACCCATGTATGGGTGTGTCGGGTTCTCTGGGGGCTAAAGACCTTATTTGGATGGTGTGCATTCCAGTTTTCCAACTTGGAATTTTCACAGCTGGTCATCATGCGCCCATGTCGTATTTGGGCCATTTTTGAAGCCGGCCAATTTAATTTACCCCCATCAAACCATATATACCCTAGGGTATTTAAAATGGTGGTATTTTAACACTTTTTATGCACTTATTCTACCACCAGTCTTTGTCAACCTTTTGGGTAGTAATTGTTTTGTGTTATTTTTCACACACATTGTATTTTAAAGATAGTTGTAGGAACCGCACTCAATCCCTTTAGCAGCCACCGGTGCTCTGGAGCAGGACCAGCAATCTTCAAAATCAAAAAATAAGTTTCCAGGCACTTAAGTGTGAATGTCGCAGGCATAATTTATTGGAGCAAAAAGAGCAGCAACGTTTCGACCTTCACAGAGGTCTTTGTCAAGCTAACACCACAAACCAAGCATAAGTGCATATATAGCAAGAAATACCAATAATTCACTTAAGTGCAAATCATTAGCACAAATTGATAAATACAAAACAGTATAAATCATGCATAATATACAGATCCACCAAATTAGGTAATCCATAACTTACCCCTATGTGCCAAAAGGGAGGAGAGACCGCAAAAAGGAAAATAGAAATAAACTAAAACGGAAATAAAAAAAATAATAAATAAAAATAATAATAAATAAAACAAGTATAAATGAAAAGAATGCATAATGTCCATGCCGTGGCCAATGTAATTTACCCCCATCAAACCATATATT